TCGAATTTGGGTTCGTTGGATTTGTCTTTTTAAGCACTTTAGTACTAGATGATGTCCAGGGTCCTGATGATGGAGTCAGGAGGTGGCCATAGGAAATTCCTAAACGAAACTTTGGAAACTTATCGAGTTTGGGTTTGTTGGATTTGTCTTTTCGAGCACTTTGGTGATAAATTGTATTGTAATTTGTACCAAGGCTCTGAGATTGAGATGTCAACTAAAAAGTGTATTATAAAATTATAAAAAAAAAAACACTTTTTTTTAAAACAAGCTTTTATTCTGAAATGCAGTTGTACTAAAACGAAAAAAAAATGTACTTATGCAAGGTTCAAATAATTTCGAAAGCTTGTAGCGCAAACATAAAAGCTTTCGAAATTATTTGAACCTTGCGTACAATTTTTTTTTTTCGTTTTATTATTACGTGTTAACGGATTAACGATTAACGTTAACTTGCGTTAAATCTTCCGAAATGTAGCGTTTTAACGTTTAACGAAGTTAATTTTTTTAGTAACGGTTTAACGATTAACGAAGTTAACTATTTGATTAACGGTGCCCAGCTATGATATTAGGTGACTCAGCCTCTTAAGTATTCAATTTTGATTACATTTGTCATCAGTTTCGGTTTTTATTATCGATTAAAGTCGTTATTTTCACCAAGATTAATCAATTGTTGTAATAAAAATTGTTTTATTTTTGTTTAATTTGTTAACAGCCTATACTGTGGTTGCGATTAATTTAAGAAGTTTATCAAGGCATCATGTCCCCTCAGGTGACAATAATACTTGAAAGGTATGCTGTATTTGGATATTCATGCATAGAACAACCTTGTCATACGATCTTATTTTGTAATAATGACTGTCCGAATCAATTTATCACGTCATAATCATTGTGTTTAAAATCGTGAACCAACTGACCTCACAGCGAGTCAAGTTATGCTTGCGGTCATTTATCTTCTTAAACGTGTGCACAATGCTCCATTTAGGTGTTAGTCATGATTGGAGTGCCTACATCGGATCGAGGTGAAAGGTTAAACATTAGGTATTACAGCTCAATACTTACACTCTGCGCAACTCCGCATAATACAAGTTTAGCGTCGATGTATATTGCCCAAGCGCCGTAGTCCGACTGGTAGGACAGACAGACGTGACGCCAGACATCCTTCACTATTTCCACCGGAATGCTCGAAATCACTCTTCCATTTATGGACACTTTCATGTTACGCCCTCCCGAGTCCAACCAGAGCCTGACGACGCGGTTATTGCCATTTGCTGCAAAACATGTAATTAAATGAACCAAAAAATAAGTGATCTAATAAGTTGCAGTTCTAATACATATTAATGTCACCTTATTAGGTCTAATCGTATGTAACTAGAAGATAAGAAGGTTAAAAAGTTGAAACTTGATATTTTGTAATAATATTATGCGGCGTCCTTGAACGCTCGAAAGTGTAACAGTGTGGAGTTGGGCAACGTCATTTTTGGCTAGGGTGGAGTGAGATGAGAACATTAATGGCTCGGAGGCGACCCCATCTTGCTCAGCGATCCGCATGACGTGCAGGTGAAGTCCGGGCCTCGTCCCCTGTCAGTGCTTTATTTATATTCAAAGTGATCGGTGGTAGTAAAAGTTCAGGCAGAATTTGCACAGTATTTATCTTCTCAGCTTAAGGGCATTTGTGATAATGTTTTAGATAGTGTATTTGCTTTACAACCCTGTCTTTACTTCGCGCAAGGTAACTGCCGTTTGTTTCATGCTCATGTCTATCGAAATGTCGCGTAGGTAACATTAAAAAGTCGTCCTATTGAGCAATTCTGGGCCTACACGAAACTGGTAAAAAATAAGGGGGTCATATTGTACAACGCAATGACTTTACTCAATATTTTGGTGTACTTTGTGCGATCCAGTTTTAGGTAATGTTAATTAACGTATGAACTTTTCCATTCCCTACAATTCTTCAGTACCTGAAATAGCAAGCAATAAAAATGTGTCATGTAATGTGTGTAAGGGAGGGCATCTCTCGAATGATTTCTTTCTCATGTGTACCTACCTAAAACCCTTTTTAACATTATTTACAAAATATTGTTATATATCTTTCATTCTTCTAAGATGGTTGAATTTTTTTAAACAGTGCAATTGTAATGCTTTTAGAGAACCTTAGAAATGACAAATACAACTCACCTACATACGTGAAAATACTCTGGTCACCGCCAAGGTCGTATAATCGAATCCAAGTACAAAACGTGAACTCTCTCAAAGGTGGAGTCTCTACGTCATACTGGAGAAACTGCAAAGAAAAATTATCTCTCTCAGTCTTGATTAAGGAGAAATGTAAAGTGCCCCATAAGGGCTACCTTTTCTTTTTTTATTATTTTCTATTGACGTTCATAAGTGCCACTTGTGGTCTAAACTGAATAAATATTTTTGATTTTGATTTTTGATGAAAATTCTAAAAAGATGGTAAATTAAAGTTATTGTTTGTTGTACATTAAAAGTTACGCTACTGGGAATATTTCTATTCTCGTCATTACATCAGCTACAGCAAACCCACAAACCTATTTTATCCTACTGCTCTAGTAAGGTTTCATTAATTATATTCCAACAGGTATGTTATTTGTTAAATTAAGTTTGTAATTAACAGGATTCAGGGATTAAGATTATTTGAAATTTGTTCTACTGGACTGTATTTTGTTTAAGACATGATAATTAATACAATTGTTTCGTATTGAATTTAGGATTTGTTCAATTTTGGAACAAAAACATTAGAAGTAAAGTTTGATAATATATTAGATTGGTACCTGTGTGAATCCTTTCTGTGTCAAAACGACTTTGTAGACTGGTCGGTTGATGGCCACGGTGGCTGACGCCAACAAACACACCAGGCCAATTTCTGGCCACATTCCTAATCTCTTGCAATATTAATCGGAACTATAAAATTTATATTACTCTCTAAACGAGCGTGTCAAATGCTTTCTACAGCATATCACAACGATAACTGACAATTCTTTCCCGTTGCTTCAATGATTGTTGTTGCTGTAAATAATTGTTTGTAAACCACAAGCCATTTCTAGCAATACATTGTTGCGCCCTGAGTGTGCGTTTGAAATGACTTTTCTTTTATAATAATATTACACTCATTGCCTGATGTGGTGATCGTTCACTTCATGTAAACTATCTCTTGTTCCTCGCCTACTCATCCACAGTCCTCATCTTGATATTATTTGTTTTCATTAACAATGTTGTCTGTTATTCTTATTCTAATCAAATTAATCACGATACATATACTTCCTTTGCTTGGCAACATCTTAAAATGACATTTCTATTTATAATTATTATTCTGTTTAATGACTTCAATGGTGTGTATTTGAAGCACACTGGTTTCGCCATGTTTCTATTAATTACAACTAAATCAGAGCGGTAATATATTTTAGCAAATGAGTTTTCTCTCTATTTGTGAGGTTTCGTTATGTTTTATGAGGCGGCACTCGTGTGTGTTACAGGCAACTAAACGAATTCTTAGAATCTAAACTTAGTTGCTGCAAATTATTTAGCTGACGGGTTTCACATGTAGGAAAACTTTTCTGTTCAGGGAGTAAATTAGGAGAATTACTGATAATATCTGATTTGTAACATTCACGTCTGAAAACAAAATTATGTACGAGTATATCCCATGACAACTTAGGTGACTTTCGCACAAACATGAATATTTCAATTCTGAAATAAATTACGTTAGCCTAATGGATGGAAATTACACAATGAAGTTTTAAGATTAGGTACATTACATTATTCATCTTCCTAAATCAAATCCCAAACGCTTCACATGTCTCGATCGGACGATCCTCGGTGTCCATTCCATTGTTGGTTGAATGCCCATTAACAAATGATTGTCTAAAGAGTATGGGGACATCGCTGCCGATCTCGGGACAGCAGTGCGATTCATCAGCAGGGAATTGAATTCCATTCAGAAGGGAATGGATTTAGAGAGTTACACCATTTAAAACTACACAATGGAAATGTGTTACGAGTAATGCAAAAAATACGTTTCGTTTACCTAATTACATAAAAAAATGTACAACTAATCATAACGTAGTATGTAATTTTTAACTAACTCATTACTTTTTTAGGTGCCTCAAGCGGTAATTTTCCTTATTCATAAAATCTGATAATCGCCAACACTTTATTTTCTTTATATTTTTTCGTTTATTGTTATCAATATCACGTCCCATAACTTAACCAACAGACACGACTACATGTCAAACTTTTAATTGATTAATTATATCTATGTCAGTACGAGTAGGTGTTTATTTAACATTAAAAACTCTTTAAAACTCATTAAAACTAATTTATTTCTGTAAATAGGCTTAAAAAAGCACTTTTACACGTCCCCGTATTAACCCTACCCAATACTAACAAGTCGTTAAGTTTTTCCAAACTCAGGAGCCCGGAGATAAACTGCAAATTCTGCATTTAACCATTACATAGATCACTAGTTATACTGTAACTACCAATTTGTAGCTTGCATGCCCGTATTGCCCGTAGCCGTAGCTTAGCACTAGACTCATAAATCACCGCCAATCATTTCCCCCTTTTTACTTCACTAATGACATCGTTCAATCTTGCCATCTGTTCAACATTTTGGGCTGATGTATTCATTCAATAGTTCACTTCATTCAGCGTGATATTATTTGTTTTCAAATATAATTTTGTCTAGAACTGGTTTCCATTGGAAGAGCATATGCTGCTGAATACACGATAGGATTTAAATTATTATGAACTCGTTTAGTTCGAAGTCAAATAGACCACTGCATTGCAGACCATTGCTAAAGCCGCCGGAGAAACTTGACCTTCATTGGTTGGGTTTTTATGGCGGTCAAGCAGATCCTGGCTACACAGGAAACGAGAGGTGGGAATAGTCCCGTTCTAAATCCGCCGGAGATCTGAAGACAGATTACTAGTTTAGAGTTACTTGTGAATGAGACTTGCAGGTTAAAGGTGCCGTTCTCTTGCAGGTGAAGGCGCCTGCTTACTACATCGGCACGCAGGCCCCGAGCACGCTGCCCCGCGGTGGCTCCCTGATGCGCGCCTTTTCGCCGGCGGCGCCGCCGGTGCCCGCCGACCGCGTCAAGAACCTACCTGCCGGTAAGCGAGCCTTAAAAACTCTAGCCTTAGTAGGTACCGTGCCAGGGTCATGCCATATCAGCAACGCGTTCTCTATTCCCTGGAAGACGCAGTAGAAATCTCTAGAAAAGAGACTTCTGCACAGGCTGGAGTCAGATTAATGTATCTAAATCGAAATATAAAAGGAGAAACTGACTGACTGACATATCAACGCACAGCCTAAACGGCTAAACGTAGGCACTTGGAATTTGGAAGGGACGTAGCTTAGGTACCGTAGAGGTGCACTAAGAAAGGAATTCCCAAAATTCCCACGGGAACGGGAACTAACGGGAAAATCCTTTTGTATGAAAAATCTAAACCGCTTAAGTTAGACGCTTGAAATTTGGCATGCAGGTACCTTAGTAAACTTAAAGCTTAGCTACAACAAGATATTGCAAAATTCCCACGGGAACGGGCGTTAACGGGAAAAACATTTGTATGAAAAAATCTAAACCGCGTTAGATAGATAAAGGGGGTAAAACGGGATCCACGTGTACGAAGGCGCCGGCGGCCGCTAGTCACTTATAACCAAGCTACAAGTATGTCCATATACAGTGTGTCCGGGCTTGTAGTGATCAAACTTTAAGGGCGTAATCTATGGACAATTTTATCGATGAAAATACTTCAAATTTGGGGCCTGACCCATTTCTCGAAAAACTACATCGATTTAAGTTTTTAATTTTTAGTTTACACCTCTTCTTTAAAAAACAAGTGAAAGCGTAGGTATCTTAACATTAATAGGCAAATATTTTATATCATGCGATAGCCAATAAAATTATCTATTAGTAGAAGAAGAAAACAGACACAAGTTTCATACATTTTATGGGAGTAAGAATGGATTTAATGACAAAAATACATTACTTTTTTCACTTCTTTTTCAGTTATTTTCCAACACAAGAAAAACCAGGTCGTTAAGGTATGTTTTATTTGCATTGTATTATTAGTATTTGAGCTATTCTACAAAACAAATGTGAATTTATTAGTCTACGTTTATTAGTTTCGACGTAATTGTTGAACAAAGATACCCCTTCCCAGCGGTTTCCATAGCGCACGCGACATGCGAAAATACACTGCCTGAAAGAATCACACAACCTATTCCGATTACTATGGAAACCGCTGGGAAGGGGTATCTTTGTTCAACAATTACGTCGAAACTAATAGACGTAGACTAATAAATTTACATTCGTTTTGTAGAATAGCTCAAATACTAAAAATACAATGCAAATAATACATACCTTAACGACCTGGTTTTTCTTGTGTTGGAAAATAACTGAAAAAGAAGTGAAAAAAGTAATGTATTTTTCTAATTAAATCCATTCTTACTCCCATAAAATGTATGAAACTTGTGTCTGTTTTCTTCTTCTACTAATAGATAATTTTATTGGCTATCGCATGATATAAAATATTTGCCTATTAATGTTAAGCTACCCACGCTTTCACTTGTTTTTTAAAGAAGAAGTGAAAACTAAAAATTAAAAACTTAAATCGATGTAATTTTTCGAGAAATGGGTCAGGCACCAAATTTGAAGTATTTTCATCGATAAAATTGTACATAGATTACGCCTTTAAAGTTTGATCACTACATGCCCGGACACACTGTATAGGAGTATGTTGCAAAGCTCTATTAGAAGGCGATATTATGACACACATTGAGTATGTACACAATATGCAGTGAACGAGTATTGTTGTGTGTTGCACGAATATTCTCGTAGTACGTGTTAAACCGGGCTTTGACGGGAACTATTTGCTAAGGCGATTCAGAAATAGCCTGCTGTTACAAATACGCAAAGTTTTCCGCGCAGTACCAGGGCCGCTCCACAACGTAACGTCACATTAATGTTAAGACGATTAGTCTCAATCAAGACACCTTTAAAGGAAAAGCTTACTCAGCATGAACGGAAATTTAATTGTAACTTTAAAAATATGTTCTCATATCATCATCACACAACAAAATAAGTTCAAGTTGTACCGTTAACCCAACTGGAACAATTCGAGAAGTCAGTATTATCAGTCTAGATCCGGTAAATCAAATAAGTGGGTAGAGTTAGAGCGGCACACGGCAAATTGTTATGCTCCGTATCAATCAACAAAGATGTTTGTACTTTGTACACAGTAAAATATTTAGCTCTATTTGCCGACGGGGATATTATATAAAGCGATCGAGTCGAGCAACTCGTGGCGATGTTAGTAAAATTGTTGCACTATAGTGTGTATTTGACGATTACTTGAGACTTGCCTTACGTAAACTCCTGATTGGTAGATCAAGTACGCGGCGGCAGGATACTCAACATGTTAGTGGCTTTTTAGATACTATCGCAGAAAATGCTCTACACATTGAAGCCCGGATAAACGAGTGTTCTATATGCCACGCTTTGGTCAACGTAAAAAATTAAAGTCTGTTGCAATGATTAATAGGAAAAAAAAATCTATCACTGTAGAAAAAGTTAAATGAACAGCGAAAGCCTGTAGCAGCTTAGACATTAAATCATATTTTCTAATAATTTAAGCAGAGTAAACAAAGAATACGAAACATTGAAATCTGAGAATATCTATTCCTGATCCTATCCTATTGTCTGCATATCACTGTCGATGTCTATTGTTTACTTGGAAGTATGGATTGCTAATGTTATTTTCCTGAAATAAGGGGATCAAAGTAGCGATGAGTAATGGATTTGGCGCTTTGATTGAAGTTTGACGAGTTTGACATTAGTGAAGTAGTTGTTTGTATGTATAATAACATGGTTACAACTTAACATAAATAAATAAATAAATAATAAATATCCTTGGACATTTTACACTGCGCTTCTAGTCCCAAACTAAGCAAAGCTTGTACTATGGGTACTAGACAACGGATATAAACATACTTAAATACTTTTTTTTTTGTAAATACATACTTATTATACATAGAAAACACCATAACACCAATAACAAGATGGGCGTAGAGGTCATTGTGTTAGTTTATATTAGCCATTTGAGGGTTAGAACAGTACAGAGGTACAAAGTAGTATATGTTTAGGTCCCCCAGCGCCAGCCAAGCCATTGCGTTCATACATCCCGGGCAGCGGGTCCGAACGATGTTTTCCGTTCGCCGCGGAGTGCCCGCGGGGCCCCGACCAACTCTACACCATCCCTGGTAACCTAGACCTCCTCCTACCAACTTTCTTTCGCTTTCGAATTACTTTGCTTAACGCTTGCTATCTCAAACTCTTAATGTTGTGCTAACGCACGTTTATTTTACTAAGGGAATGATTCATTCTACTTATCCTGGAACTTTCGGGCGTTGTTCCTTTCGACGGCACATTTGTCTTATCACGACCGATAGTATCCACGCTCGATAATAACACCGTTTCCTACACGTTTTATATTAAAATGCATATAACACAGCGAAAATTCGATGCAGGTATTGTATAAGAAAGTCACGCAATTGATTTTGTAGTACCTATTTAATCGATTTGGTGATTATGAGATTTATGGTCTGCATGCTTTGTCTATTTATCTAATGGTGTAGCTTTTATTGACATCTTTTGTAAAGTTGAATTGTGATAGTTTTAAATATGAACTGGTGGTTCGGTTGGTTGTTAAGGATCGAATGGTGGTACAGGGCACGCCGGCGAGGGCTACATGTCGTCGCCGGAGCGCGGCGGGCCGCGCGCGCCCTACGAGGACCCGTACTACACCCAATACCTGGGCCCGGCTGCCGTCAGGCCCAACATCACGCCCATCATCGACGAGGAAGCTGGGTGCGTAAAACTTTTTATTTTAAAGCTGCAAAGCAAAAATTCCAGTTCAATACTTAGGTCAACTGATAGACAGTGTGACAGGCTGATGTTTCTTACGTTTTTAAAAATTTAATTACAAGAAATGAAGAACATTCCTTATTTTCTTCTTTCAGGGATGGGATCATAGATGATGCCTATCAAATGTACGGAGTCAACCCCATCACCACCGCTCCGAGGCCGATGCCTCGTCCGCCATACGACGCCAGGTAACTCGCAAAGAAACTTCAAACTTGTTTGCGTTTGAACGTTTCTTTAATCAATGCAGTTAAATCTTACAGCTGGCAGACTTTACAGTTAAAGACGTTACTTTTTAACAGTCAGCTGAAAGGTATAGCCAATATACTTCGTCTGAGCTGAGCTATATTGTGGCCACAATAAACCTGATAGGCAGAACAAACCATTTTTAAAACCAATATCTGGTAATAAATTCTGAAAACAATCTGTTTCTGACTTATTTGATTACTAAGCTAATGCGAAATGTTGCCTGCAGCGAAGTCTATCATTGGTCACTGCTTCAGAAAAACGATTTAAATGATTTAGCTCAGTGGCCGATGATTGTTCACCAACTTTGATTAGACTTAGCATGCGGTGTTCTAGGCTGACCACACAAGTTGATGATATGCAACGCCTCCGCGTTGAAAAGATGGAGCGGCAGCTTGCCAATTTGACGGGCCTGGTGCAGAAGGCACTGCAGGTGCCAGGCCCCGCCGCCCCGCCGGCCGCTGCGCCGCGCCAAGACTTCCCCGCCACCTTCTCAGCTCGACCACCAACCACTGGTACGTACCATTCCCCACAGCCCGCCAAGGCAGCCTCCCGATGATTAACTAACCAGGCCAATTACCTCCCGATACTCCCATAACTAGATTCACGGTGTTGATGTCACCCCGATGCCATCTACGGCCCGGATTTTCGACAAGGGTATGTGTTGTCACGAAAAAAATACGTCATTCAATGTTGTGTTGTTATGTTGAACAAAATTGTGTTTTTCATTTTAACGATGTCAATCATATGCCTATATTTGCCCTTAAAGGTTTAATTATACAAAAATGTTAATGAATGCGTTATCTTACGTTATGAAAGCAACGTCACATCGCATTCCATTGAACTAATGCGATTCGCATTACAACAGATTTACGAGTGGTTAACCTACTACTCAAAAATTGCTAAACACATGCATATACTTATTGTAATACACATTAATGACTGTTAATAAGTAATGTGTGGTGGATAGTCGAACTAATCATATTTTCAGTCTGAAACATCAATTACGCGACGGGTAATTCGAGTATAACATGAATTGTTACGATTTCGCAAGTTTATTACTTGTATTTCGTAAAACTGTTTGGTACAGTCTTGGTTCTGGAGATCGGGCAGTAGATGCATCAGCGGTATAACATAATTATAGTCATAAATAAAATAAAATAAAATTAAATGGAAAAATTTTTTAAGGAATGCATTAAATTCGACGGTTCAACCAATTGGCTTAAATAATCACCTTGTCCTCCTGCTGGCTTGTATGGAAGGCTTGATTCGTTAATGTCGCTGCCTTTTCCACTCAGATGCCGCGAGATTTGCCAGCAACGAGAGACCCCCTAAATTAGGGAGAGATAAATTTCGTAAGTTAAAATTGGATCGCGGCCGATTTTGCGATAATGCATTGCTAATGTCCAAAGCTGCTTATAGGAGACTTACTGAGCCATATGTTCCGAGTGCTACGTGTCAAATGTGAAGAGGGCTTGGAATGGTTTTAGTTAAGTAAACAAAGACTACTGTGATATATCTCAAAATGAATGTGCGTGATGAGGCACTTGAAAACTCTTTGCAGTTTATCTGTACAGTGGCACGAAACCGCAAATTGTTTTCCGCTGCATTCTATTAACGAGCAACTGATGTACCTGTTAGGAGCTTCCGTGCGTTGTGGTGTGCCGTGAAAGCGGCACTTTCACTCTGCCGCCCAGCCGCTGCAGCGAAGCGCTGCAACGCTACCTAGATGGACACGAGTACGCGACATTCGCAATGCATTCCGCCGACTCCATCCATTATCATGCCAATGCTTGCTTGCTGAATCGAGTGATTTTTTTCTTATTTTTCAGCTTTATTACAGCAGAATAGGTTTTGAGTCTGTTTTATCATGATCTGTAATTACCGAGTCATTCCATCCTTTCTGAGATTCATAATACACATACGCGCAAATCAATTGTAAAAATTGCTATTCGATTGTTGAAGTTCATTTAGGAGTCATTAGGCCAGTTTGAAGGCTTTGTACCTATAGTCTGCCATCGCTGAAATATCAGAGTAGTGTGAGAATGATCATCTTCCAACATTTGGTTCGTCATTACGACATCAATAGATTACAATATTTCTGTTGAAACAAGCAAGTATTTATTTAAATAGTAATGTTGATTGCGCTAGTAAGCCACCCAAACCACGATACTTCTTTTTGCTCTTCTTGAGCCTGTCTTTTTTAAGAACCTGACACCCTGGAGCGTTGGTCATTACTGCAAGTTTATATTAGCACTAATGTCCTGAATTAACACAATTCGTTTAATGGCTTGATGCTGAAAACTTAAATATCCTGTCTCTTTCGAGCACCAAATGAATAATCATTTATCTTTGTTTGTTCATGGTCTTGTTTAACTATTTCCCACGACCCTATTCCAAAATTTTCAAGTTACTACACCAGATGCAACTTCTTATTCACAAGTCTGAATTCCAATACCTATTTTGTGCACCTATTTTTATTACACGGCACTTTAGCCACATACCTACCTTTCGGTCGAATCAAATGTTATTTTGTGATAGTTTACGTAAAGATATCGTGACGTCTCGTAGGGTGACGGCACCAGTAATGGACATGGCACCAATTATGGACATTTTTTTCGTTGATCGAATTTATTAAGCAACTGTCGCAACATTTTGAACTGGCAACACTAAAATCACAATCAATAGATGTTTGGGCTATCATTTTGACACACGTCACCAAAATCGGCCACTTTGTTTTAAGACAGCTGCGAAGTGAAATCTCGTTGCGCGCGGTGGTAATGAAAATCCGTTTTTACTATTGAAATCGTTAAGGAAGTGAGTACATATTTGTGCTTGGTGCTATCTTGTGTTGTGTTATAATGAGATTTGATGTTATTTTTACTGAATAATAATAAATAGCAAGTAAATTGAGCTAAGTTAAAAATGTCTTATCACAGCCATAAGTTTTTTCTGGGGTTTGTTCATTACTGGATTCGATATTTTATGAAATTCAGTAATGGACAAGTGTCCATGCTTAAGTTTTTAATTGGTTTTTTAGTTTATTGTATTAAATTATTTAATTTGATGCACTAAACATTTGGGTTGAGTTGATTTTGTAATTGCTCTTTATTTTCCAATGTTGGACGATGTCCATAACTGGGTATTTTTAGTTGTCCATAATTGGGTTCTTTGTTTTGTCTTAGATGGCACCAAAACAAAATTACATCCCCAAACAAATGGGGAGAGCATTGGATGCTGTAAGGATGGGGGAAAAGATAAGCATGGCTGCCCTCCGGTTTGATGTTCCTCGAATAACCTGGGTTACCTCCGCCATATCGAATAACAAATGATCGAAAGTAAAAATGTCCAACACGTTTCATCGAAAACTCAAAACATCGAACGATTAAAATATAGAATTTACAAAATGATCGAAATAATCTTCAAAAGATCTAAGGATTAAATTATCGAAAATCGATCTAATTGTATAGTTTAATAGGAAGATGGAGGTAAGGGTTCCTTGTTGACTATGGTACCCTAGAAATATAAAAAAAGTTTTATTTATACAGGGTGTTAGGTAAATGGGTATATGAGCCGACACTAGCCCATGTTAACATGGGCATATAAATGGTATAGTGAAGTCAGAAAATTGATATCTTCATTTTAATTATTTAAATTTTCATACAAATCGGATGTTATAAAAATTATTTTGTATGAAAATTAAAAAAAAAATGATGTTATCAAATTTCTGACTTCGCCATACCATTTATTTATATGCCCATGTTAACATGGGCTAGTGTCGGCTCATATACCCATTTACCTAACACCCTGTATTCATCATAATAATATGACATTTAGTTTAAACTTCTTTACTGATTTTCGATATTTTAATTATTCGATATTTTGAACATTTGATCATTTGTAAATTCGATATTTTGATCGTTTAAAGTCGAGGGATGACGGGATGATGTTACCGAAGAAGGCATTCGCAAATGGTTCGATAAAATAACGAGATACATAGAAGTTATAGGTTTAAAAGATGTTTTAGATGAACCCAGCCGGATATTTAATACCGACGGAAGCGCATTTTATCACCAGATGGTTGATTGAAAGTCTGATACTTGAAAATCGAAGACTGATCAAGTTGAAAGTTCAAATAGCAGTAATAAAAGTTGATTTGTGACATCATTTGTTTCATTCATGTGTTCAATACAAAAGTGTCCATTAATGGATGTTCATAATTGGGTCCATGTCCATGACTGGGTGTCCATTACTGAATTTTTGATGTCCATCAATGGTGATTTCGTAAATTTCAATTTATAATTTTTTTATTAATTATCTATTAAGCATACAGGATTTTTGGTTTTGTTTAAATGTTCCTCATGTATTTAAGTGCCGAAAAAAAAAATCACCACTTTTGTATCGTCAAAAAACATCCCCTTTTTAAACGAAATTCGAATTTAGTGCGCTTAACATGTCCATGATTGGTTCCGTCACCCTAGTTTGTTTGCTATTTCATAGTTTGCAAACCCCGGGAGTGACTCAGTGGAGTGATTGACTATGAACATTTGTTATTTCAGAGAAGTCAGTGTCATTTGAGAAATCGGTATCATTTAGCGATGACCCACCTGACATGAACTCCCCCAAACAACATTCGCCACAGCATTCAGGTATGCATACAATTGAAACTTACCTATCAATCGAGATTAACGTTTGCAACCCTTGTGCCTGTATAAGTTATAGAATAGTTAACTGTAATGAATGAACATACTTATATTATGCATATATTTTAAATATAAGTTCTATGGTGATGGGTCTTGTATGTTAAATTTAATATGATAGTGTTAATAAATTGTTTATAAGTCGCTCGCGTATAGACCGTGTAACGATATGTTTCCTACACGAATATACAGAGCATAAATCAGAAATATCTAACATATATTAAGAACCAGTAAAGGTATCTTGTTATTTAATTGATCGATGTAATTAGTGTCTTGATACCCCCTTGAGATAGATTTAACGAATTCCTTATCATATGACGATTCCTGCAAGAAAATATTAATGAGTAAGAGCAACCGCTCGTCACGTTGATGCCGACAATGTTCACTCTTAGATAGTTAACTAACCTGAACATTCAAGTACATCCATAGTTCACCTTCGACATGAGTTTATTGATTTCGTTTCATGTTAAGTTGGCATTTTCATGTGATATAGAATAGTCATAACATCTTCCGAGGGTGAGCTGAACTAGCAAACGTTGGATCACCTCACTTTCGGAAAAAAGAGATCCTTTTTCAAAGTCTATCTATCTAGCCACTATCGTAGTTATTGCCATAACCATGATCATAATTCTTGTATTTGATTTCTTTCCGCTTACTTCTTTGCCATAACAAGCTGATACAAAACCAACCAAACCGGCAATCAAATCATCGACTTTGCCGCGGACCTCGTCGCAAGGTAACTGTTTGATATCAATTGATTTGGTCTTCTGTACATACTAAATGATGCTTACTAACTTAATAATACTGCAATCTATCTGGGTGTGTTAAATGCTTCGGGATATTCACTTCTTTGTTACAAGATATTAACATATTCTTAAGTACTGTAAATGCATTTTAACTTTGCACACTTGTGGGATATTATGGCTTTGAATCTTACATCTATGTGCATAAGAATTGTGAAATATGAATTTGAAACCGCTTACTTAGCCATTAAAATTAGCTGGATAAACTTAAGACCTTGATGGCTTAACCTTTGAATGGGTAGCATGTGTATTGATTAGATGAGGCGCTTACATGTGTTTGTTGGTCTTCAGAGCGCGACCGCCTGAAGCCCGCTCCTCCGCCGAAGCCGGCCGGCCTGGTGGGCCAGCAGCTGGCCCTCGTGTCTCCCAGGACGTACACCATCAACGTTACTCCTGATTTCTTCAACCAGCTCCGCGTTCTGCAGAAGCAGAGCCGGGACCTGAGGATCGAGGTAATACTGTAGATCTCGCGAATATGTCCATTGACTGCTTCGGGCGAACTGTCTTTGCTGATTGCACTCGCGAGTTCCCGAGCTTTAATCAATTTAAAATGTTCGTACACAGCTATAAGTGTGATTTGATTCGCAGACACGAAATTTGCGTCGGTCAACGCTGACCCATGCCATCCAGATGCGCCAGCTGATGGCTGAAACCATCGTGAAGATTGGTGCCATTGCTGCTAGTTTCTGCGAGCAGGACCCTGACTCGGTACGTATAAAGATCATTTTCGTACAATATTTCAGTTTGTTTTCGAGACTAATTTGTTGATATCATTTCAGCAACTGACCCGCGAGGAAGAGATCTACCGCCAAGACATGCTTCTGCTCGAGAACGACTTGTACGAGCTGGAAGCTACGGTGGAGCGTCTGCGCGGGCAGGCTGCTAACAGGTAATTATTGAATCTTAAAGGTTAAGATACCCGTGTGATTTCGCCAGAATAGAATAAAAGCACCCCTTCTCTTCTCAAAGACGTCGTTTCAAGAATTATGCTACAATCAGTCCTCCTTAACCCATCATGCTAGCGTGAAGAGTGGCTAAATTTTCCACTAGCCTCTGGTAATTGGAGAGGATCGTTTTTCTAGTTTCATTAAGGATACTTTCTAACGCTTCTAACAGTTTTAAAAGCGGCACTCCAAATCTTATACATTTGGTGCGTTGGTGTTCTAGGGAGACCCGCGTGAACATGGCGGACATCGAGCGCATCGCTATGGTGCTCTCCAAGAGCAGCAAGACGGTGGCCGACTGGAAGCTGAAGTTCCCCATCCTACAGGAGACCATGAAGGTCAAGCTCGCCGCTGAGATGGAGAAGGTAAATATTTTTTAAATAGCTATAGGTTAAGTAGTCGTATTATGTCATGCCGTGTGGGGACGGCCATAAAGAATACTCTTCCCCACCGCAAACAGGAGGCGTGTCGTAAGAGGCGACAAAATCCCTGCAGCACCGGACGGGCAGCAGCGTCTGCGTGCGAAACCTTATAAAAAACTGCGATCGCCAACCCGCCTGCCAAGCGTGGCGATTAAGGCAAATCCCCCCCATGGAGAGGAAATCCTTGGCCTTTGTCCAGCAGTGGACGACTTTCGGCTGATACGACGACGACGATTATGTCAATGTCAGTCCTCCCGGCACTGGACTGACATTGACATAATACGACGCGACAGCATATAAATCTGAAGGAGATTTGAAGCGTGTTTGAAGTCTTTCTAACGTTTGACGTTAAAAAACACCCTCCCGTGCCGCTCCCATACCACAAGCACTGAAGACTGAGTTAAACTGTACCTGTAGTATGAGTAGTGCTAGTTTGTCCGTTCGTTCGTTTCAGCCAAAAGACGTCCACTGCTAGACATAGGCCTAGGAGCTGATGCTAGTAACCGTCATTAGTTCATGAGTTGATAATTTCTAGGCACATTATATGACGCTGTATTAAACCAAGGATATCTGTCTTCATATCAGAGAAACTTTATGATAAGGTGCTTCTATGTTCTTCCTTGTATATTTATCTAAACACTGTCATCATGGACACTTGGACAGTGCTATTTCGCAACAAAATAGTCTGATATACTACCTGCTGAACCTTCCAGGTGGTCCGCAAAGAGAAGATGCTGGAGGAAGAACCAGAGCGCCTGGAGCTGGCTCTGCGTCGCTGCAAGAAGCTGACCGGAACCCTGGTCACTCTAAAGAGGTATTTACTTATATTTTATCACCCTAGGTCACTTTTAAGAGGTATATACTTATATTTTATCACCCCAGGTCACTTTGAAGAAGGATATACGTATATTTTATCACCCTAGGTCACTTTGAAGAGGTATTTACTTATATTTTATCATCCTAGGTCACTCTGAAGAGGTATTTACTTATATTTTATCACCCTAGGTTACTTTGAAGAGGTATATACTTATATTTTATCACCCTAGGTCACTTTGAAGAGGTATATACTTATATTTTATCACCCTGGGTCACTTTGAAGAGGTATTTACTCATATTTTATCACCCTAGGTCACTTCGAAAAGTTTGGATAATATTTCCCGTCTTTGCAACATATTTCTTTACTACTCCACCCCTATTAGCTGTAGAGTGATGCTGTATAGCCTAAAGCCTTCCTCAATAAATGGATACAAAAATAATTTATCAAATCGGACCAGTAGTTCCTGAGATTAGCGCGTTCAAGCAAAGAAACAAACTCTTCAGCTTTACTCTTTAGCTTTTTTATTATTAGCATTGATATCACCTTTGGTCTCTCTGAAGAGGTAATACTTATTTATATCATCTTTGGTAACTGAAGAGGTATTTCCTTACAACTTTATCACCGGAACAGTAACGAGGTTACGGCTGTTTAGAAACTTGTTAAATGGACCAGTTCGTCCAGTTACCTTAACCTGTTTTGTGTAAAAATAAAATTTTATGTTATGACGCTTCCGAATTGATTTCCCTTTTTTTAGTCATTAAACAAACATACTCCTTTATTTTAGATAATTTAATGTCTTTGAAATGGATGTAGGTTTAAAGTCATTTTGAAATAAATGTTTTCCATAAGTGACAGTTACTTTGTTAGCTCATATAGGGTCCTTATAGCTTTAAAGGTACTTACTACCTTCTGCCTGCAGCTTGACTCGCCTAGATTTTGGTCGATAAAAAAGACATTGATTGGGTGCCTGTCCCCATAGAGTTTTCATAAAAAATAATGTGCCGCATGTCCAAATTATACCAGAGCGTATTCAGGATTCACCGACTTAGAGGTTTAGGCATGAAATCGTAAAGCGGGTTTTCCACCGCAAGCGAATCGAGCCAATTTATGATTTCGTTTACTTCGCAATACAAAGATGCATACATCTGTTTCCACCAACAAAAATCCGAGCGTAAATGACAAAAAATTAGCTCGCTCATCAAATCAATACTCTTGAACTCTTTCTTGGTGGAAAAGCAATCCTATCTATCTATATTCTACACATATAAAAGCGAAAGATATAGACTGACTCACTCATCACGAAATCTCACAAACTACAAGTTCTAGGAGTCTCTTTCTTGCATGGGTTCCTTTTAGAACGTAGGTGCTCACTAAAACGGGAATTGCCAAAATTCAACCCTAAGGGGGTAAAACGGGATCCACTCGTTCGAAGTCGCAGGCGGCCGCTAGTATTATACAGTGTCCCAGAATGGGTAATTTTTTATTAAATATTTTTTAGGGATAGTATATTAGTAGAGCCCCCTAGCAGTTTGATTCACCCATTCTGGGACACCCTGTATACACGAAGACCGCTCCGCTAGAGAGACACCCTATTTTATTCCTCTGGCATTGAAAAACGGGCTTAATAGACTGACAGACAAACTAGCATGTATGCATTCGACTGGGCATGACGAGGGTATGCTTGGGCAGGCTGGCCTGCGTGCAAGAGCAGCGCCTGCCGATGGCCGACGGCCGCTCGTCCCCGGGCTCCTCCCAAAGCTCCACCACCTTCACCCCGGGGCCTTCATCCGACGAGTTCGCCTCCGATAGCACCTGCCAACTGCCGCAGGTCCATAACAAGGTAACAGACCTCATGATGTATCCCCCTCCCCCACATCCCCATTCTCCTCTTAACCCATCCTGATTACCCCCAACGCCGGTAACACACCTCCAATCATCCCAGCGTTCACTTCGACACGTAAGAGAAGTGAGTGCTGGGACTCGAATAAAAATGCATTGAAGTCGATTTCAATCGAATTGAATTCTTGACTTTGTGAGCTGGACTGACGTCATTCGAATCTATTGTGATTCGAATCCATTTCAGAAACCAATCCTTTGTCATGCCTTCGCGCGGCGGAGGTTTGCTGCCGACGTTAGGATCTGCCACACTGAATGCGGTCGGCGGTCAGGTCAGAATAATCATACATTAAGCGGGCTGCGTTTACTTTTACCTGACCGCGCACCACATCCAGTGTGACAAATCCTTATATTTCATTTTTGATACCACTAACAATGCAACGACTGCTACTTAGGGTCACATCGCGGTCAATTATTATCTGTCTTTAACTACCATAGAGAGAATATTTCTCTTCTCATATGTTTTGAATCCTATTTCACGTCATTCAAGCCCCGAATATAGTGACAAAACCTGTGGTGGCAACAATCAATCCATTTTCAGGCAAAGGGTTTGATCTATGCTAGAGTAGTTAGTACCTATGTATTCTAGAGTTGTTCTAATGAAAACAGCAGTCGATGGATTGTGCGTGTCATTATAAGAAGAAAAAGTTTTCAGTGACAAAAAAAAATGCAAAATAACTAAAACACATACCTACTAGGGAAACTATTTTCTTCTATTTAAACAACACTTGTAGAGATATAAGATGTATTTTACTGATCCCTTTATTTACAGAACGGTATCGCCGACATCTTCATTTAGAATTATTTATTGAATCGTGTTTACTATAATGTATTCACTTAACAATTGCAGGTTTGCCAAAGGTTTAAAATTTGCATTTTTTTCCATATACTTCGTTTGATTTGCGGAGTGTTTGTCTGTAGTATCCGTTCTATATGATTTGCGCCCCGACGCCCTCGTTTAGTAGAGCCCTCGAGTTACGACGCGTTCGTACGCTTCCCTTACACCTGTAAGCATGCGCCCCCTTTATTTTCATTCACCAGCATGAAACTGCATTAATTTGAAAGTAGACCTTATGAATTATTTTTGAAATCACCAATTCGATAGTGCCTTATTATAGTAGCGGCTTATTTTGACTCATTTGTCTTTTATTCAAGATTCTGTCCAACACTTCAGTGGACGTAATACATTGTAAGGAATGGTCCGGTTTGTATGTAGTATTGTCCTATGTATTCTGGATTGAACCACGAATTGGCATCAAAATTTTTGTGTACTCATGAAACGTCATTCGTTCCGTCAGTACATTACATTGTTTATAAAAACAAAATTGGCATACAAAAATTCTAAATTTTACCAGCGACTAACATCACACTCTGTCAGACAAGATACTGGCTTTGGCACGGTAAGTGGCACAAATGATTTTGGTTTATACATTAATTATTTAAAAATAAATTGCACTTATAACGATGCAATGTTTTTGAATTTGTAATGTTTAGAACAGGCACTGCACATCTGAGCACTTTTGTTATAATCTTGCCCGCATGAGAAGCAACGCCGAGCTAACAGAGGTAATATGCAGCCTCCAGGCCGGTTCCGAACTTCAAAGCCAGCGATTGAGGGTTCAAATCTCGCATGAGCCCAAGTAACAAACAGCACAAGCAATTCGTCCTTTATCTAGTTACCATAGTAAGTACACATTTTGCCATGTTTGAGACTAAGTAATAAATTAAAGTAAAAAAAAAAGACACAGTCCTTACAAGGAACAACGTAAGATGTAGTTTTTGATATCAAATAAAATATATTAATTTAACATAATAAGTATTACAAATGACAGAGTGTGATGAAAAGGAAACAGAATACAAATAAATTTGTAATTCTTTTGCACATATCCCTGCAACCAATGCACTATCCGTAAACGTTGCATTTTTAATCCTTGCTTTAGGAAAACAATGCCAATTTTAATGACAGTTGAAGCACCAACCAGTGATGTGAAACTTGAGTTAGGACCTGCCACTAGAACCTAATCCGATCATGTGGTCACTGTGAGTTTGTTTCTATAATAACAGTCGAGCGAAGCCCTTGTAAGCGTCCCCACTGTAACCACACCTAGTGACGTCACATACCATTTAGTCACTTCATTTCGAGTTGTAATGGATGCGTTCACAATAACATTTACAGTGAATTCAGATCATGCTTCCTAGTTGAAAAAAATTTAAACGTAATTTCGGAAAATTCACTTCACCTACTTTCCACAGTCGAAATTTTATTATCTGATAAGATAACGTATCACAAAGTCTGTAAAATTCTAGTAAATTGCAGAATTTACTCACGAAAAAACGTAATACTGGCCCCTACAATGAAAATACCTAGAAAAGGGGCTTGTTTTCCTTTACGATATTAGAACCTGTGGCCTAAGTTCACTGTTGGAGTTACTGCGAACGGGTCCTCTCTAATACTTTGCCATATTATCATGAATTATCAAATGAAGTGGCTATCCGATGAAGTTAAGGTTGTCAAGATGATTTCAAGAGGTGTATGATCCTTTTTAAATTTCAGTTATGCTATCTTCACCAGCCAGCATCTCCCGATATATTTATACTATTTGAGTTGTCATGGCAATCGATTAATTTGTTTTAACGATTTTCATGGTCTTCTTTCGTCAGTTCGCATGGAGACAGAGCCTAAACTTCAAGGAGGCTATCGTTATTAACGAGTAATAAATCTCTTCATAATATATCCATTATTATTATTATTCATAAATACGTTTATATATATATTTGTTTCAATTCAATATTTTATATCACATTTCTTATTTTCTTTCGGTATTACCATAATATCTTGTTTTTTGTGAATTAACACAGATTTTGCTATTTTTATGTAGGCATGTTGGTGCACTAACAAGTACATGATGCTTTAGCGATTCTGTAAAATATAAGCTTTATTCCATTGGAAATAAGTAAATGATTTATTAATTAAATTTAAGGATGTTTTTCTTACAGTTCAGACAGTATTGAAAAAATCGGTACGCATGCTTACATTCCAAGTTTTCCTGTATTAATGTAAAGTGGATCATGTCTGGGCATAGTCCATCGTACGATACGTCAAGTTTCCGAAACAGTTAACATTTCCCTTTATGGTACTGTAGGTACGTGTTGTTACGTACGTCTTCTAGAGTTTCATCAAATTTCATCTGAAATATTAATTGAGTAGCCAAAATAAACTGTTAAAGTATGGTATGCCATTAAGTTGAATTTAAGATAAAGCTTTTGAAAAGCATAATTATATCCAGTATTCATAGAATTATTGATGAATCATACGTACTACATTAACCATTGCGCATAACATAACTTTATAGTGTTGCATGACCAATTGATAGGTAATAGATTCAAGCAAATTTTAATTTTTATACTTAGTTACGATATTAGATTATAATGCCTAGACTGACAGTCATACAAGAACTTCGTCTAAAATGAGACAAAAATCATAATTATGCCATCTAATGTCATAAAAATGTCCACTAGTTTAATAAATTTTGGGAGGCTCAATGTACTGACCCGATTGTCGATCTTGTTTGAGGTGTCTTACTTTTCTTGCGTGTTCCTAAATTCTAGTTTTTTATTCTAGGCATTATGATTCTACGCTAATCATATTCACAAAGCTTGACCAGAAATATAAAATTATGTCACCGTAGTTTAGCAGTCAGAACAGTTACTAGCCCAGCAAGCGAAACTTGTGGGTTCATTGCCACCAGAGGCAATCGGTTTTTAAAAACATCATTTGTTTGCGTGTCGTCGTGATATTTTGTCTTTCTGGTCGGCTTTAGTTAACTAAATATTTTAAAATAATAATTACTTTGTTTCCGATTTATTTAATTTGAATTGTTAATGACTGCACGACATTTTCAGATGACTACGTCACTATAGAGTAGTTGGATCGACTAATGAGCATGGAGTTCGGAATAGTTGCTTTGTGATGGTTTGCATTTGCCTGTCTTTTTGTTGCAGCGCGTTCTCGATATCAGGAGGCACCCGCGCTAGACCTGGAATGAATGACATGCATTAAACCCCTACTTCGTTCTGGTATACTCAGTTTAATTTTTCCAGTGATGTCTACACCTCATCCGCTACCCCTTCGATGTCGATATCTATTTCTGCTCTATCGACTGCATATCACAACACGCACTATAATGTTCATACCATTTTTAATGAAGAATGATAAATATAACATCCCCCTAGATTTGCTATTTTATACCCACCCTCTTATTGGCTGTTCACGATAGGTATTAAACCGTTCGTAATCTAAGAAACGCATCAGGATATGCACAGGTAATTTCAGTTTTTATTAAAATTTTATACTTATCGCTTTCAAATACTTTTGACTTAGAACTTAACAGCACTCACATATTATTAACAACTGAAGTAAACTAGTCATATTTGCGATTCACTTGAGCTTTCATTAGATTAGTTATTTTGAAATTGTCACTCCGACGTTAGCTTCCTTTATTCAGTAGTCAGTTGTTAAAATTAATTATTTAAACTTAACACACTTAAATTTTTGACTAATGGCAAAATCATCACAATTGTTAAGAGATAATATTTCTATTATATTTTATGCATTATATCCATCACAAAATTTGAATTGGTTATATTTACATTTTTCACATCACATCGATCAAGCGCTCCTCGTTGTTCAACATGTTTGTTCATCTCCTTCGCCTGTCGCCCTGTCCGAGCTACATCGGCCCGCTCACCCGCGTCATAGGCCGCTCCAATTCACTTTTGTTTGTTTCTGTCGTGGAACTCTTTGCGGGCAGTGTTGTATGTAGACACCTATATTTATGATTGTTATTGTCATTATAGTAATATTTTTTTGCTTATGGTCATGCCTACCAATATTCCACCGCAGAAATAAATTGCCTTTGATCTATTTTTTTGATTTTTGAATGATTGTGATCGCATCGAGACATTTAGTTATATGAATCATTGTGATAAGTGTTTACGGATTCTTTTAATTGAATGTGTGTCATAAATGTTTTTTATATGTGTTTTCATTATCCAAAAAATGCATTTACAAATTCCCGTTGCACAACAAACACATCGTTTGTACAATAAAGACGATCCACAAAAGATCGGGCGGAATTTGTAACTGCGTTTTGATTATGCATTCCCGGGCACAGCTAGAAGTTGAAATGGTGCGCAGGGTCCCGTCGGGTGCAACGGGCGAGGCTCGGGCCGAGACGTGCGGCCGGAGAACGCCCTCGACGCTCTACTAGACGAGCTGCAGACGTTCGCCAAGCCGGGCGAGCGCGCGCGCGGCGACGGGCCGCTGCGGCGCCTGCACTCGTACCCGAGCGGCAGCGACACCGACGCGTCGCCGCCCGTGCGCGCGCGCGGCCAGCACGCGCCCAAGCCGCCCGTGCCCGAGCGCCACCCCGAGCTGCTGGCGCTGGCCGCGCGCCGCCCGCCCCCGCCCCCGCCGCGCACCTCCTCGCGCTCGCCGCTCGCCTCGCCGCCCTCCCCCGCCTCGCCCGCCTCCCCCCAGCGCTCCGACTCCGCCAACTCCGAGCCCGACGACAAGTCCGCCTGCCGCCAGGCGCTGCTCGAGCACCGCCACCAGGAGCTGCTGAAGAAGCAGAAGGCGCTGCAGGAGCAGTACGCCCGCCTGCAGATGATCCAGCGCAGCGGGCCCGCGCTGCCGCCGGCCGCGCAGCCCGACCTCAAGAAGACGGGCAGCGAGTCCAACCTGCTCACCAAGATGAGCCTCAACCTGGCGGCCGCCGCCACCTCGGGCAGCATGACGCACCTGGCCGGCGACTGCGAGCGCGCCAAGGACCCGCTGCTGGCGGACAAGCCCACGCTGGGCCCCAAGCCGGTGGAATCGGTCGCCACTACCAATAAAGTTTACGAGACTGACATACTGTGACCTAGTTACCGCTTTATGGCATCCGTATTAGTTCTAGTTTCATTCGCGATAACGAAACGAGTAGATGCGATAGCCACACCTAAATACCCCCCCAAAAGTCACGCTTCATAGTATAGGCTTTGTCTTTTCTGTTTATCTCATTTTTCCGCGTTAGCTGATCCAAAATCCTCAACACTAATAATTGACCGTTTAAAAATGATGAAATATGGACCGCCGATTACATATTTTCAATATAATAATATAGTACTGTTGCAAAGAACAAAAAAAAATCCAAAAAAATCGATAAATGTTTAGCACTTCAGATGTCAATATTGGCATAATGTCGTAAGTCTGTAATCTACTTTAATTAGAAAATTTTGAAAGATTTTAAGCCATTTCGGCTTTTATTTCACCATCAGTCCCGTTTTGTACATAGGTAACATTTGTTGTAACCTAGCTCCTTTTCTATAATTATACTATCGAGTAACCTATAATCTAAGCATTTTCTTAAATTAAGTGCCAAACTATTTCCGATGTCCTCTTCAAAAGTGAAACTTTAAGCAACGACTTCTCGCCCCTGCGCCAGCGCCGCCGCGGGCTTATTCTCTTAAGTTCAACTTCAACAAATTTACTTTCTGTACAACGAAAATTAAGTTGTATAACTATAAAAAAGTACTAGCAAAATTCTTCTATAGTCATTGAGTTATAATGTACGAGTAATATTACTTCAATGTCTATAGTAAACTATTTAATATTTTTGACGGCTCGTTTTATGAATATTTAATCATTACTCGACTGTGATACGAAGTTACCTAATTAAAATGCGTAAGAATTGAATTCATTTTTTAACTCTACTATTTATATTTTAGTGCCCTTCCCCATATAAGTTCGTCATCAACTGTGTTTATTTTTATTACGAATTATGTCAATTTGACATAATATAAAAAAATACTTAGTTGTAAAATTAAATGTTGTGGCATCAATCTGTACTCGCGCATGAAAACCGTCATAAATATTAGCATAGTTAAAATCGATCATTAAAAAATTATAAATGTGGATTATGTGGACAAATTGATGAAATCGAGTGATATTATATATGAAATTATTCATTAAAATATCCTTATTTTTAGACTCGAAATATATCTGCATTAGAGCGTGTATAATAGAGTCTAGTATAAAGAAAATCCCTAGTAAGTATAAAGAAAAAAAGTAAATGTTTGCGCTTTTTCATGTTTGTTGCAAGTGACACGTAAAATTTATCATTATGCACAAATATTTCCAGCACATTAGATTATATTATTTGTGAGAGTTTATGAAAAGTTTTAATAACAGAGATAACAACTTCTATTGAGTTATCGAGCTTTTTCATGCTTGTACCTACTCTGTGCTCAGAATGTAACAAAAATATATTTTCACACGACTTAAGTTACACTACCATTTATCTTTATTGTTGTACTCTATGCTGCTACCATAGTAACTGTAAGGAATTGTGACTATTATTTTTGACATTCCTCTATCTATTATTCAGTTGCCGATGTGTCCCCCAAGTGGATAATAATTATATGTATAAGTATACGTTTATTTTTATTTAACCACGTTTATAATGCATACTGTAATTTTAGTTCACACACATCTATACGAAAGTACCTACTTATATACATAGGTAAGATACAGTAAGATATCATGTAACTAAGATCCGATGTGTGTGTTTTTTTTAAAGTTGTTAACGACTTGAGTACATTTTATTTAATTAACATTGTACTTAATGTTTCCTTCAAATGTATATTTTGCCATCAATTAATGTATATTTATTGAAATAAGTTTATACAAATGCATTGATAAGGTCGATATTGCGAAACCGGACATGTTCATTTTATTATTATTTAAAAAAGTGCCAAAATTAAAAAAAAAGATTTGTTTTACATTAAGTAAAATGATAATGTTTGTGATGATTTTAATGTTTGTATTATTATTTATAATATACATAAATATCGTTGTTACTTAATTGTTTTGAAAAGGATGGCTCGGCGAGCAGTATGAGCAGAGATTTTCACCATTTTAGATTTACTTATAAAAAAAACTATTCAAACTCGAAAGCAAATATTTTTAAATTATCTTTATGCCATACAGACCTGGTTCTGATAAGGATCAAAGGACTGTCAGACCAACTGGGGTTAGAGCACCAGAAATGTCAGCTTGATTATAATAATTATATTTTATTTTAATAGACAATAAGACGAAATTGTATTATATGGCTGGCCGCTATAAATTATTCAATCATCTTTAGTTTATTTTATTTTATTTTGAATTTTTTTTTGTTTTTGTAGTGGCCAGTACATCAACATTTCTAGAACTCTAGTCTTATATGGTATAGGACTAAAAGGTCGTGCCTGTTTGTCTGATATTCTTTTGATGCCTACCACAACCGAAAGGCTGTCTGGTGATTTGTTAAATTGCTCCGTATGATAATTTCTGCTCTTTTTATCCAAATTCGCAGCTGCAGAATAAAAAAGCACTTAAAGTACCTGCTCTTACAGCTCCGTCTCCAAAATCCATGTATTACAGAGTAATCATTTTAGCTTAAAGCTTTTAATAGTTATGTTGTATTTTATTAAATGTTAAGTTAATACTATTGTAATTCTTATTTAGTTGTAATAGTTCATGTTAATTGTATAGTTATAAAACAGAAATAGCTTCAGAATATTTTAATTGTAAAATTAAATATAATAAATATATACACGTGAAGTTAATTGGTATATTATTTTAATCGGTTTTCCCTTGCTTATAATTAGATAGGAAATCAAAACTAGGAAGTAAATTATATTATTCAAGTTTTATTTAAAATATTAATCTTTAACTTATTATTATAATTATTATGACTGAATCTATACCGGGTATGCATTTCAGCGACTCTGGTCTGCATACTCAAACTTATAAATATGTATGACGAAGTCATGTAGGTAATAATGATAATTATAGGTAATTATTAACTGCAGTCTCATTGCACTTTGGTTCACTGGCGACGACGATGTGTTAGGCTTCCGACGTGTACACCTGAAACCAAAATCATCATTTTATTCATTCATTCGATGAAGATTGCGGTTTAAAGTAAAATAGGGCTCAAAACTAAGTAAGTTGGTAAGTGTCTTTTTTTCACAGATTTAATGTTTTCAGAAGTAGGTATATGACCAGTGTTGGGAAACGATAGGTGGACCAACCTTTTTTGATATATTGTCTATGCTTTTATTCTTTTTGATACCTTTTGTTTTTTAAGTTTGAGTTTATGTTTATGATAACCATCTGGGCATTTTAAGCAAGATTATCTATATAATTTAACCAAGGTTTTCGTTATTTATGCCCGCCCGAGCGGGTGTCCACCACAACCAGACTTAAAAGTTTATCTCATAAAACTAGTCAATATTAGTAGAGAGTAGTTTCTAGAATCTTCTAACCTTCTTCTTGATCTTCAAGTTCTTGTTCTCCATGTAGTCCTGCAGCGCGAGGTAGATGAACCTGTACTGCTGTTTGTTCTGCACCATCCCGCTACGCTGCGCGCGCGCCAGTCGCACCGCGTCGTGCACGTCGATGTCGCAGTTGAAACCTGGAAAACAACTTGTTGCAGCTTGCTGGGACTTGGCCATGAAGTTCTCTGCCAGCGTATTTAATGGGAAAAGCAATTGCGCAGCCTCGTACTGAGTATCGATAATCGAATACCTAGTACGTACAACACTAATCCGCCAATAGGCCAACGATTCGGCATCGGACTGCCGATTTAAGATTCAATGAACACTAGTCTAGTTCAGACCAGCAGCGCTTAGACAAGTTTTAAAACGTGACGGCTGTAATTCCGAAATCGCTTGGCACTTTTTAAGTTAGGGGCCGAACCAAATAGGTAAGCAGTGTGCTTACCTACCATGAGTTTACGTTAGGTGTGTTCGCTAGCGAGTACGTAAAAAAAATCTATGAAGATTTTATTTCTTGAAAGTAGCCGCTAGGGGCGCTTCACAATATGTCATACATTTAATGTCAATTTTTTACGCAGTCGCTAGCGAGCACACCTAACGTATAGGTACTCATGGTAAGCACACTGGTAGGTAATTTACTTCTTGCTCCGTGAAGCGATTTCTAAATGAAAACTGTCAAGGGGGCAGGTCATATAATTTGCTCTATAAAAACAGTTCGCATAATGCCTACATTTCGCAATAGCGGATAGCCAGGCATAAAAAAATAAGATTCGCAAGCAAAATAAAAAAAAAAACAAAAATACCTATTACATAAGCTAGAACTAGAATTATACATTAGACATCTTTTAATTACTAGCAATATCTTACCAGAGGTCTTAATTTTGTCGATCAACATATCCAAGACTATGAAGGTGCCTGTTCTGCCCACACCCGCTGAACAGTGCACGCATAATATATTCTGAAAATAGAAACAAAATTTTTATTCATATGACCTGATTGAAATTAAATTGACCTGACTGAATTGAATGAAAATAGAAACAAAATTTTTATTCATATGACTATCATCAGGACTTATAGAACAGGTTGTCATAACATATGAATGCTGAATATGACCTCAGCATCGAAAAACAAAAGCATCTAAGTACCGAAAACTTCTTTTACGTTTGTTTGTCAACGATATCCAGAACTTAGCAAAAAGCTTTCCAAAAGCTCACCTGCTCTGGTGGATTTTTATCCTGTCTGATTTGGTACATTCTTCTGTTGATGTCTCGAATGAAGTTGAGAACCCCGTCGGGCTCCGACGGCGTGCCGTGGTCGGGCCATGCCTTAAACATAATAATGCACTCGTTATAACTCTAATAAGTATAATTTCTAATAACCTTAACCTTTAACCGACGACGTGATTTTTTTGTCACGCCGTCTGCGAGGTGCGGTCTGTGGGACCGCTATACTGTTTACTCAAAAAGTAATATTTTTTTGTATAAAAGTATTTAAAAGTCAGAGCCTAGAATAGATGTCACTGTTTGCTTTACCACCCGTTTCGCGGTAATTTTTTACAGACTACCATCTTTTACATAATATTATGTCCTAATATCAATATATCATTAGGAAATATCTTTTGCTAGGTTGTGGTGGCCCAGGAACCATCAATTTTACAAAAAATGAGTCGTCTAAAACAAAAACGCATGTTTTAGTATGGTACAAAAAAGTCACGTAGTCTGCGACGTGCGGTCCCACAGACCGCTGTTGAACTTTAAATCGAATTATCTTATCAAAACTGCCATTATCGATGTAACCACTACCTGTAATCGCGTATGGGCAACTAAACTCGAAGGTACTGAGACGCTCGGGACACGGGAGTAAGTAGAACATTGCAATCCAGAAATTTCAAAAACCGGAGCGGTCTGTGAGACCGCACGTCGTCGGTTAAAGGTTAAAGGTAATAAAACCTTTAAGGTTCGGATACATTGTCCTAAGCTTCAATAAAGTATTTTATATATTCTTTCCATAATAATGAGCGGGAAAATCCAACGCTTCTTCACACAATCCGCTAGTGTTACTTTACACGTGCAGGCATTTCAGATAAAAAGTTTTTGGAGGCCTCTCGGCCGTGTCATGGCACAAGAATAGTTCAAAGTAAAGCTCCGTTTATTTTTCTCGATCTTTTTCAATACACTGACAATTTACAATCTAAATATATAAAAAGAGAAACTGACTGACTGACTGACAGATCAACGCACAGCCTAAACGGCTAAACGTAGGCACTTGAAATTTGGAAGGGACGTAGCTTAGGTAGGTACCGTAGAGGTGCACTAAGAAAGGAATTCCCGAAATTCCCACGGGAACGGGAATTAGCGGGAAAAACGGGATTCACGCGTACGAAGTCGCGGGCGGCCGCTAGTTTTAACTAAAATATTAGTAGGTAGGTATTCACATAATTAAGTAATTTATGTTATCTAGTTTCCTGCAAGACTATCTACTCGTATAGTATTAGGTATATTTTCTTGCTGGTATAAAAGTGTACACAAACAAAGTCTCAAAGTTTGACGCCCGTATCGTAGTACTTATTATTATTCTGTGCCCGTATTTACAAACGATGCTTGCTTTTTTAAGTGATGCAGCATATCGAACGTACAGCGTAAATAGAGCTCTGTGATTGGTTCTTGTGTGACCCTGTGCGTGCACGCGCACTGTGAGACCTCATAGTAATGTTTGTGAATACGGGCG